CGAGGGGGCCTGGGCCGCGCTGCTGGGCCGGCAGCACCCGCAGGTACCGGGCGGGCCGGGGCGGGGGGGCCGCGCGCGGGGCTGCGGTGACGGTGCGGCCGTGCCCGCAGGCCCGGGAGTTCTGCCCGGGGGTGAACAACCGGCCCTACGTGTGCGAGACCGGGCACTGCTGCGGGGAGAGCGGCTGCTGCACCTACTACTACGAGCTGTGGTGTGAGTGCGGCGGGCCCCGGGGGAACGGAGCGGAGCGGGGGGCCCGGGCGGGCTGGGGGCCTCGGGAGCAGCCGGGGCTCGGGGAGGTCAGGGGCTGTGCTGCGGCCGGGGGCACTGAGGGGTCTGGGAGGTTGTGGGGAGCGGGGGTGCCGTGTGCCGGTGACCATGGCCCCGGTGCCGTGCGCCGGTGACCGGCCCCTCCTCGGCCCCGTTCCCGCAGGGTTCTGGCTGCTCTGGACCATCCTGATCCTGCTGAGCTGCTGCTGCGCCTTCCGGCACCGCCGCGCCAAGCTGCGCCTGCAGCAGCAGCAGCGGCAGCGCGAGATCAACCTCATCGCCTACCACGGTGCCTGCCACTACCCGCCCTCCTCGGGGGACCTCCGTGAGTCAGGGCCCCCAATCCCACCCCTGGCATCACCACCCCCTTCCACGGGGCTGGGCATCGGGACCCCCAGCTGTGCCCTGCCCCTCCACGCCGGTGTCCCTCGGTGTCCCCTGACCCCGCCTGTCCCCTCCCCAGGGCTGCTGGCCTCCTTCAAGCTGCCGGCGTACGAGGAGGTGGCGCAGCGCCCCGGGACGCCGCCGCCGCCCTACAGCCCCGGCAGCCCCTCGCTGTCGCCCGGCTCCTCGGGGGGCTGCAGCTCCTGCTCCTGCGGCTGCTCCTGCGCCTCCTCGCCCAGCAGCTCCTCGCTGTCGGCGCCGGGCACCGACGAGACGGACCCGGAGCCGGGCCCGGGCACGGCGGGGGGCAGCACGGGCCGTGACTGCGGCTCCAGCAGCACCGGCACCGCGGCCAGCTGGGAGCTGCCCCCGCCCGAGGAGCCGCCGGCCCGCGGGGGACCCCCAAAACGAGCGCCCCCGGACTTGTGCGAGGCCGAGGGTCGCCCCTGCTCCGACACCGAGGGGGGCGGGGATGGGGCGGGCAGGTCTGTGCCAGGGGGGTGCCCCGGGAGGCACCGGCGGCTCACGGGGGATTCGGGCATCGAGGTGGGCCGGGGTCTAGAGGAGGAGGAGGGCGAGGCTGAGGGCTGTGGGGGAGCAGGGGGTGGCGGGGGGCCTGGCTCGCCCGTGCTGCCTGTCTGAGCCCCCCCACAGGACCCTCGAGTGGGGTCTGGACTCATCACGGAGCCCCTGGGGGCCCCTCGGCCCGACTGACACCCACCTTGCAGTGTGGTGGGGTCCTGCTGCAGCCCCCTCCCCTCCAAACCGCTCCTGGGGCCTCCCCTGCGGTCCCGGTGCTGCTGCTGGGGGGGCCCCATCGCCCGGGGGGTGCCCGAGGCCGTGGGCATGGGTGGTCCCGGCGTGTTCTCTCACCATTAAAGAGATGTGGAAGTACCACAGACCCTTGTGGTGGGTGCACCGGGCTGGGGGGCGACCCTTGACTCCACAGGAGGGGGCAAAACATGGCACAGGGGCCACCAGCGTGACCTGGGGTCAGCAGAGGTGACAGCGGGGTGGTGAGAGGCCACACTCATGGAGGTTTATTACAGGGGAGGCCGGGGGGCTCTGGCACAGCCCCCCAACCCCTCCCCTGGCCCTGAGCGTGCCAGGGGGGCACAGAGACCCCCCCCATCAATAGTCCTCAGCCATGGCCAGCACAACGAGCGCGGACCAGCCGGCGAAGGGGCGGCAGCCCTGCCCGGCGCCGTCGCTGTCCCGGTAGTGCTCCCACAGGAAGCCGGTGGCCTCGTACTGCCGGAACACGTTGGCCACCAGGTTGTGGCGCAGCTCGCGGTAGATCTGCGCCGCGCGCTCCCGGTGCGGCCCCGCCGCCCGCGCGTAGCCGCGCAGCGCCCGCAGCGCCAGGAAGTTGATGTTGACCCAGACGGAGCCGCGCCAGTAGGGCGGGTCGTGCTCGGTGTTGCGGCGCAGGTACAGCGGGCTGTCCCGTGCCAGCGAGCGCAGCCCGAAGGGCGTCCACAGCTGCCGCTCGCCGCGCATGGATCCCAGCAGCGCCGGCAGCCGCGGCGAGTCCGCGCGCAGCAGCTGCAGCAGCAGCGGGAACAGGCTGACGTAGCCCAGGGCGCCCACGAAGCGCGGCCGCGGCGCCTCCCGCACCTCCCGCCGCAGCTGCGGGGCCGGCGGGCCGCACGGGCGGTGCCAGCGCAGCGCCACGGCCGCGCTGTGGTTGCCGAAGTCGGCGAAGGCGCCCAGCTCGGGCGCCCAGTGCAGGCGGTCCAGCAGGGCGTTGTCGCTCAGGGCGGCGGCCATGTCGCGGTAGGGCGCGGCGGGCTCGCCCAGGCGCTCGGCCAGCGCTGCCAGCACGCGGGCGCCCAGCGCCATCCAGCAGCGCAGGTCCAGGTGCCGCTCCTGGGCCGACGGGTGCGAGGCGCGGGGGTAATCGTCCAGCCCCGACGACAGCGTCTTGGGGTTCAGGAAGCGCTCGGGGTCGGGGTCGCGGCCGCGCCAGCGGAAGGTGAAGGGCTCGGGGCCGGCCTGGGTGCGGTTGAGCCACTCGAACCAGGCGCGGAGGCGCGGGGAGAGGCGGCACAGGTAGGGCAGGGGCGCGTCGGGCAGCAGCCGCTCCAGCGCCAGCAGCAGCGTCGGGGGGTTGGCCGTCTCGCTGTGCTGCAGCACGAACTCGGGCGGCACCCGCGCCCGCGCCTCGTCCCCCAGGATCTGCTCCCGCGGGATCCAGCCGTCGGCGTTCAGCAGGTCGAGCCAGTGCGCCAGGATGTCACGGGCCAGCGCGGCGTCCCAGCGGGCCAGCAGCAGCAGGTGGAAGCCCTCGTCCCACAGGAAGCCGCGCGGGAAGCAGGAGCGCGAGGGCACGGCCGTGAAGAGCACGGACTCCATGCCGGGCACGGGCTCCTCGCGGCACTCCGAGCGCAGCAGCGAGCGGCCGTGGAAGAAGCCGATGCCGCCCAGCATCTCGCTGAGGGCGGCCTGGGCGAAGCGGCGCTGCGGGGCGGGCACCCCGCGCGCCCCCAGCCCGACGCGCTGCCCGACTCCAGCGTCACCTCCAGCGCCGCCGGCGGCTCCAGCGTCACCTGGTGCAGCAGCAGCTGCCCCCGCGGGGGCTCCCCGGGCAGCCCCCCAGCGCTGGACACCCCGAAGAAGCGGCGGCGGGGCCGGCCCGGCGGGGAGAACACGGAGCTCTCGCGGAGGCTGTGCCGCACCAGGTCGGTGAGGCGGTGCAGCCCCGGCAGTGCCGCGGCCAGGAAGTTGTAACTGAGGGGGAGGACAACAGAGTCAGCGATGGGGACGCGGTGGGGACACGGTGGGTTTGGGGGCTGCGGCCCAGACACTCACCTGGCGTACTTGGGCCCCTCCCCGCCCTCGCCCGTGGGGGGCAGGAAGGTGAGGGTGAAGTCGCCGAGCTCCTGCGCCGTGCCCGCCACGGCCGCCAGCCGCGTGCCGTTCTCCAGCACCGGCCGCAGCGTGCCCTGCCCGTCCGTGGCCACGTAGAAGAAGAGGGACAGGAGCGGGGCCGGGCCCTCGCCCTGCGGAGGAGGAAGAGGAGGATGACAAAAGCTCCCCGGCATCCATCCCGGCCCCTGTCCCACTGTCACCCCCTCACCTCCGTCTTCACGGTGACCCGCCAGCTCCAGTCGCCGCCGTGGTCCCCCCCCGGCTGCTTCACGAACTCGGTTCTCAGCAGCAGCCCCTCATCGCGGATCTCCTGCACCCCGAAATTCTCCCCGTCGTGCATCAGCCACCCGTACCGCGACACGCCGCCGTTCTGCTCGCTCGTGTGCCGCAAGCTGCCGCCGTGTTGGAGCCACATCAGCCCTGGGGGGGCGGGGAGGGGTCAGGGCCGGGCCGGCGGGGCCGGGCGAGTCCCCGGGCCGGGCAGGGCCCCCCGCGCCCCTCACCGGTCACCACAGCGCGCGGGCTCCGCGTCTTCATCCCGAAGTACACGTGAGGCCGGTACGTGCCCCAGAAATAGGTGGGCGACGCGAGCGGCCCGGTGGAGCCGGGGGGCACGGCGGGGGGCGCGGGGTGCGGGGTGACGAGGCGGGCGGCTTCGCTCCACCGCTTCCA